TTTTATTTTATTTATTTATTTTTTTTTTTTTGAAAATGATGGAACGATACGAAACCGTTCGTTTTGAATGTTATGATTACGAAGCATGGATGGAGGGTAGGTTTCATCGATGGATATAATAAATGAACTTTGAGCGAGTTAAGTTTTTGTTACTCGTGTTATTCGTGTTTGTGAGATAGTTTGAAAAAAATCGTTATACAAAGATGAAAATGTTGGTCGAGATTTATTTATTAAGTTAAGTATGTTAAGTTATCGTCCTATAAGTTATATTTTGTTCGCTTTTTTTTTGAGTATAAAGTTTTGATATAATTAAATTAATTTGTAAATAAAAGATATGCGAAATGTTTATAGAATGTAAGAAATTTTTAAGAAAATTGTAGAATATTATAGTAAGTGTAACAAGCAGTTTTCTCAAAAACTCGTTAAAAATACATAGTATCAGAATTATTTCCTAACGTTTAATAGTTCTCTAGGGTTCTTCTGAGAATAAATGAGATAGATAGGGGAATAATTTTCTTAAGCTTTTCTCTACGAAATACCTCGTAAATTTTTATATTTCTTGATAATTCCGACACTAAACGTAACATAACTCATTCTAATCTTTAGTTCCTTTGTGAGACTCTATTTTTCTTGCACTTTTATTGTTTCGAAATATTAATGAGAAAGAGAGAAGTATTAAAATAAATAAATAAATAAATAAACAGTTGAAATATTAAAATGAAATTTTAGATTTTAAAATGATCTATTTGTTCTATAAATAAATTTGTTATGAATTAAAAATATACTAACTAAAAATATTTCAGTTTCTTTTTATTTTTTAAAATTTTTTACTACTTGTGGAAATTTATTAATATTTATAATAAACGATTATAGACACATACGTGTGTGCGAATAAAAAGGATGAAAGAAAGGGACGTGTAAGCTGGTATCGGAATAAACGATCAATAGCTCGGAACACTTTTTATGGATATAAGCTGATTTCAAAAGCTACTTCTTTATAGGAAAAATCTGTTTTACACAGCTTCATAATTTATTCCATTTTCTTTTCTTTAAAAAAATCCTAATCAAATAAATTAATTCTTTATTATTAAATTTTTCTACCAATACAATAATTGAAAAAAATTATAAAATATATTATTCGAATATCGTATAATATAATATAACATAATATAAAATAATTTGAAACGAATTTACTTGAATAATCGATCTTAATAATTTATAACATTAATATTAATTTACGCGCTTAATATTTATTGCCTCTTTTTTTATTTGTATTCAGAATTGATTATACCACAACTACGTTAACAATATCGATTACGGTTCCGTAAATAATATTTACACCATTTATTGCTTTTCCAATTTTAATAAAATTGTCAGTTTCCACTTTTAAAACACGAGTTTTAAATAATAAAATGTAATTAGAAAGGCAACACGCCGTGAAATCGTCAGAGTTGGTTATATACCTTGGTTATATCTGATGTTTATTATGCGATATCGATAGATTCCCATTTACATAGGAGTAAATTATTTTCGAATACGTTTAAATCTGCATAAATTTCCTGACTGATGGCTAAAAAATAAATGCCAGCAGTTACAGAAATCGTTTTAATCGTTAATGAGAAAACACGTTCCATGATACCAATTTCAACGAAACTTCGTCAATGCCTGATAACTCAGATATATTTGACTCGTGTCATTTGCATAAATCCTCCCAATAATGGAAATACTTCATCACAGCTGAATTGCTGACTTGTACGTGAAACGCGTTATTTAGTTAGTTTTTTTTTTTTTTAAATATCCTAATGGAATAAAATTTATATTATACACATAATTGTTTTAATTAATTATATTTATTCTGCTTTATTATAAATTTAAAATTGTATAATACCGTTATAATATACGTATAATTTCTTTTTTAATTCGAAGCAAATTCATATTATGAAGTTTTTTCATGTATTTCTTTATTTCGCACAAAAAAAAGTTAAACGATAATTAGAAGAACAATTTAAAAAAATTTTAGTTCTTTGTCACTTCTCTCTCTCTTTCTCTCTCTCTCTGCTCAAAAATGTACATACGTTGAAAGAACTTTAATTAACTTTTCGCAGACGTAACGTTTGTTAAATTTTAACAGATGTGATAAAAGGAACAGGAGATATTCCTTATGTCATTACAAGAAATTTATGACAAGGAAATTTCCATATTATTATGCATATTTCACGAGTAGAGGAAATTTCAAAATTCCATCTAATCTAATATACAGAAGAAAAAAAAAAAAAATACCAATCTTCAATATTTAACCCCGTCAAATTTTCTATCCATTATTATTTCTCAAAAATTCACGATCTGAATCTCTTTTGATCTCGAAGATTAATTGAACGTTATCCACTCGATCCTACGTGTAAATACATCCTCTCTCTCTCTCTCTCTTAAAAAAGGAGACTTTTAAACTCATAAATTCGTCGCTCGATTACTCCTTCTTACCCACCCTCTCTCTCTCTCTCCCCTTCAGCTTAGAACGACTGCGGGACCCTCTCGAACATCTTGGAAAGTGTCGAACGCAGATCCCTTTTCCCTCCCCCGATCCCTGCCAACTGCCCAATTCAAGGGATGACTTCTACAATCGGATGAGCACCGAGGTAGAATGCTCTTACATCCTCCCCTCCTTCTCTCTCTTTTTCTCCCTTTCTCCCTCCTCTTCCTCTCTGCCTGTCGACCGAGGCGGAGAGCGCTTTATTGCGGTCGCGTTTGTAGAGTACATGGATGAAAAAGCATAACGTGAATAACCGCGAAAGGGAGAGAAATGGAGGACGTGGAAAGAGAGAGAGAGAGAGAAAGGAAAGGAGCGACGCAGCGTGCACCAGATACAAGGGAATGCAAGGGGGGAGGCAGAGTGGAGAGACGATGGAGGAGGGAGAGGGCGAGTCGTAAAACGTTGGGTTTTGCAAGAAGCGGCCTGGTGGCGGCAGAGGGTGAGAATGGAGAAGGGAGCCGCCACAAAGTAGGCGCACCGCTTTATCGTCGACCAAGGCTCTGAGAGACACTCTCCTCCACTCTCTTACCGTGTTCTCTCTCGATTCTTTTTTTTTTTTTTATTCGCCCCCTTTGCTTCCTTCCTTCCTTTTCCCTTCGTTGAAATTTCCTCCTCGACTCCTCCCTCCCCTCTTTCCCCTTCGTTCGCCGATTTATCTCCTCTTTGACCGGTCCTCCTACGCCTCTCTTTCTCTTAATTCCTAGTCTTTTTGATCGAGGCTTTCTTCTTCTCTTCTTCTTATTTTATCGATGTTCTATATACGATTATATATATATGGTTATTCATGGAAGAAATTTTGTATTTCTCATCATTTTTCGTTCGCAATTGTCCTCTTCGTTCTTTTCCTTCCACTATTCAAGTCTTTTTATTTTTATTTTTTCCTTAAACGTGTCTCTCCTCGAACGTTTCCCCTATCGTTCTCCTCTTTCTTATAATCCATTTTCCATCATCTTTTCACAATATCGTATCACTAGAACTTTCTTAAATTTAACATCGGCAAGAAGATTTTCTCCTTCTCCTTATAACGTCATCATCTCATTTCCTATTCCCTCACGATTGCCCAACATTTGACTTCGAACCCTCCCCCCTAAATTCTTCATTCCTCCGTTCTAATCTTCGAAAGAAAAATCTTATTCCCCTCGGTCATCTCCTCTTCCCTCCCCATTATCCATCGTTCAACTTTAAATCCTAGAATCTTGCTCCTCGAGCACACCTCGTTCCTCCACTCCTCCCCCCGCAATCGCTCTTCCTCGCCGTCATCTTGTTCTTCCTCCTCGTACACCTTTCTCCTCAACATCGTCCTCCATCACGAGCATCTCTATCCACCATTCCAACCACCGTAACAAGTCCTTCCTCCCATTCAGGCGCATCGATACACCCACGCTGGCTTATATATCTGGCTTATAAATCTGAGCGCGTGGGCGTGCAGCCGTACGGGAGACGACGGCGTATACGGGCAAAATCCATTCATGGATCGCGATGATGAGCCGTTTTATAACGCCGGTAAACTCCGATCTCCAGGTGAGAATCACGCCGTGAGATAGTGGGCGACCAATGAAGACTCTCTTCTCCTCCTCAAAAAGAGAGAGAGAGAAAGAGAGGGGTTCCGTGTAATGCAATTTTTAGTTTTGTAAGGGTCTTACGATTTCGAAGGTGGAAAAGAACCGTGAAATCTCGTCGAATCGATGCTCGAAGCTCTCTCGAGCGTAATCGCAGCTGCGTGATTTATCATAGGCCGTTTATCTGTAGCGACGTTCGACGTTTGAGGGAAGTGGTGGTGGTTTAGATTTTGAGCAAACTGTGCGCGAAATAGGCGTAATAGACAGGGTGTAACGGTTTCGCGGGCATTATAGATGCGTCGAATTATGGATTCGATGGCGTGTCACTGATCCCACGTTCTGTTTAGCTTCACGCTCTGTGATAATTCCTCCCTCTCTTTGCGAAACAGAGGGGGTGAGTATTATTCTCCGTATTAATTTCGAAGGAGGGTTTAATTGAGAGGATTGGTATTCCTGTTTTCGTTCAATCGAGGTTTCGATTCGTTTTATCCTTCTTGTCGAATAGTGGATAAATTTTTCAACGGTGTAGATGTAGAAGAGAAGTTTATACGACATTGAAAGAAGATTAAAAAATATTTCAAGCTAAATCCAAGATCAATCCAATTTTTAATCTTCTTTTCAAAAAATTAAAAAAGAAAAAGAAAACTTATTTCCATTTACTTTCATTCCTTCACCATACGAGATCGATTCTTCCTCTTTTTCCTTCGCGGATAACAAACTTTATAATAATCCTATCGCGCTTAAAACTGAGCTCATTACCCATTATTGAGTCTCTTTCGCGTTATTACGCGATAAAAGTTGGTATATAGAAACCGGGTAAGGGAAGAAGAATAATAGACACGAGAATGAGAAGATTCCAAGTGCTAAGAAGTTTCTCAATGTATATCCCCCCCCTGTTCGATCTGTTCCAGGCGAGGTGATTGGCCAGCGGTTCCTGGGAAACGAGAGCCACGTGGAGCACTTCAAGCTCCTGGAGCGCGCGACCACTTCCATCCTGATTGGCGCCAGGTAATTGTTACGTGATTCGATTCTTTACCGTGTAAAGGATGGGGGAGGAATGGGCCAGCAGATGGTCATCGGCCAGCGGATACACCCACCTAAGTCTCTCGAGTCACTCCCTCGATTACGCGGCCCTCGATGACGAAGTCTCCCCCTCCCTTCTCTCCTTATGACGTGTCCTCTTTAATTTTACATCAGAGTATTTCCCTTCGATCGATCGCATCGGTCTTCTTGATATACGTGGAATAAATTGCTTTCAATTAAAGGGGGAGAGGGAAAAAGAAAGATCCTCCGCGTAAATTGTTGTCGAGATACAGCGAGATTTAACGCGAGGTTGCTGGATTTATCCTCCGAGAGTCGAGAAAGATATTTTTCGTTCGACGATTGCGTTTAATGTACGTTTTCTATTCTATTTTGAAATTTTGTAGAGTTTTTTAGTTGAATATATCGATAAAAATTTTTTTTATTTTTTTAAAATTGTGTAATTGATAAATAATAATTTAAATGAAATATGAAATTGAATTTTGCAAATAAATCATTTTTAAGAAAACAGAAAAATTTTAGGTAGATAGAAATTTTTTAGATATAATGATTTTGTTGAAATTTTGAAATAATAAAATGACGAGGGATTGTTGAAGTAGTTGTAGGAATGGGAAAAATTTTCGCTCGATATTATTGGAGTTTGCATAAGGGGGAGTTTATTATCGATCATTGTGAGTCATAGTTACGTATCTATATTACTAACCACTATCAATCAGTTTAGTTTATGTTTAAATTATCATCTTAATGACACGTAATTATTGAATTAATTGGAACTTAGATATTGGATATAATTTTCAATTCGAAAAAGAGTTAATCATTTTAATTGAGAATTGTTTTAATCTTGTTACGATACATTTAAGAAGCAATCATAGATACTGCTTTGAATGCAATATCCTTTCAGGATAATATTCAATTAACCATTGCAATAATCATTGCATTGCCAGAGCATTGTTGTCTACCTCCAGGGTAGCTTAATTCAATTATATCTCAGACTATTAGTGTCAGAATATAATTGCGTTGTATCAGTATAAGCATATTGTCGACAATATTTTAAAGCTTTTTTTAAAAATGAAATTAATCGATTAAATTTATTTATTTGTACGTATATTTTATGTTTTAATACAAATGAATTAAATTTACAAGAAAATTTCAAATTTATATCCCGATACGTACAAAAATAAAAGTAAAATTCGTTTTCTAATTTATCAGATTTTTAGAAAAAGACTTTCTCTCGTCTCTTTAGAAAACAAATCAAAGAAAATACATTAATTTAATTTTATTTTATTATTTTGAATACACGAAAAATTTTCTCCGTATAAATGTGACTTTGTAATTAACAAAATTATAATTTTGTTGTTAAAATTATTGATGCACATTCATGATACATCTTTCGAAAAGTCAATTTCAAGCAAAAAACACAAAGGTAGATTAAAGTATATCTCACGAATATAGCAACACTTGTATACCTTAAAAAGTTATGAACCCTGTTTTTTTACCACCCTCTATATATGCATATAAGCGTTTACATTAAAGGCAATAAAACGATGGGCCACTAGAACGATATTACTTCCACGGGGAAAAGTCCGGAAGTAGCTGTGGTAAAAGGAATGTAAATTTGGAGGGGAAAGAGGAAGGAAAGAAGAGAAAAAAAAAAAATCGTAAATTTTAAATAGCTCGAACGAAAAAAACACGGAATTCCAGTCAACTATGGTTTACATTTTCGAGTTTCAACGATAACGTATTTCCTCTAGATAGAGGCTCGTATTTCCCTCGTTTTAACACGTTCCTCACACTTTTCCTAGGAATACGTTTCACTTTAAAGGCGAAGGTCTATCGAACGGGTGTGCCATGAAGCACGAAATAGAATAAAGATCAATTTTCCTAAGGAAAATATGATATTTTTGTATTCCTCGAGATATCTTCTCAAGAGATATCGTTCGATCGATATCCAATCTTATTAAAATTTTCGTTATTAGATCCATCGATCGATTTCTATATTTTAATCTCCTTCTCTTTTTTTTCGTTTCTAGAAATGTAGAGCGAAATTAATTTCTCGACGAGGAAATATGTTTTTTTTTTTTTTTTTTTTGACGAAAATTGTTAAAGAAATTAAATTAAACTTTTTCTTTTCTATTCTTCTTCCGGAACGAAGAAATCCCTTTGTGTATGACCAAAGTAAAAGTACTTACGCGTTCAACTTTCGAACTTTTCTTTTTATTTCAACTCCTTCTTGTTCTATTTCAAGAACAGATTCATAATTTCGAGCATGGAATTTCTATAATTGGATCTATTTAATAATTTTTTGTTTAATAACTATTTCATTTACGTTTCTACATAAACGTAATATTCCTGAAATTTAATCTATATTCTGTGACACGTTCTCTCTCTCTCTCTCTCTCTAGTTTATTTTTATATTATTTCTTTCGTTTATTTTTAATAAGTTAAAGCAGCATCTTCGACACACATTCGATTATCTGTATTTATAAAATATTTAAATTGCTTTACATTCCTCTCTTGTACTCAATTCTCTAAACACTTGAACCTTCCACTCAATTTTATCTCTCATAATAATAAACAATCTCACCAAAATTCCTTCTTCATAATAACGTTCTACAGTTTACATTCTCTCTTTTAGAATAACATTGAAGGTAAACATGATATCTCAATATCCTACAAGTGGCATATAAATAGAATCCTCTTTAACAGAATTAAAATTATCAAACTCGAATTGATTACAATTTTTCTTCCGATTATAAGATACAATATCGATTTTTATTCGAACAAAAATATAATTATACGTAGCATCTAATTATTTTACCTCCAAATATCTAATGATTTTGCAAGGTAATAAATATATTTCAATTTCAAACAAAAAATTTCTAAAATCCTGACACACTATCCTTCGATCCTCCCAATGCTTCACCTCTTACGTTCACGCCAAACCCTAGCTTCCATTGCATAATTTTCAATCCTTTCCATCACCGCACGATAACACGCGTTTCCACGATCCGTGATACCATCGTGTGTTACAGATACAATAATGATTCGATATTACCTTTGCGTAATACACGATTCAAGGATCGTAATTTACAACCGCGAAGGATGAAGGGAGGAGGATGGTGGTCGAGTGAGTAAACCATGCTCGGTTGTTACCAGTTATTACAACGTGGTGGTTATTAGTACGGCATACTTCGTATAATTGGTCGGGTAACCGATGTAACAATAATAACAAGCTTTGCTCTGTTAATTATCGTGAAGGGCCTATCGTGAAGGGAAGGGATTTTACAGCGAGTTCTCAGCGAGGCTTTGATTCGAAGGAATTCGAATCTATCGTAATATTTGCTGGGATCGATCCTGGAAATCGAAAAGTTTGAATGTGTAAAAATGTCGATACGTTTATCGAGTGTTAAAAGTAATTTATATTAAGTAATTTATATAATTTATATATTTAATTTATTAATAGGATGACGAATGAATTAAGGAAGTGTCTTTGGTAATTTATTTAAAAATAATCTTTGTATTCATATTTTCGAAATGTCTTCTGTCGTGCTATTAGAAGCTTCGTTTAAATAATATTATTTTCTGCATACATTGTATGGGATAAAAGATAAATAAATAAAGAATTTCAAAAAGAGTGGCAAGAAGAGATTATTAATATTTCTCGAATTTTAAATAATAATAATTAATAAATAAGTTATCCAATCAATGAAAGACACTTCAATTTCATTGAAAAAAAAAATATTACAGTTTATCGTCATTCAAAAATTCAAAAGTTTATTTCAATTCCTTGTGATATATGATTGAATAAATAAGAGTCGACCGATATTTTTCTATTTATTTTGATCTTTAGAATCCTCGAAAATTGTTCCACGTGTATATATAAATAATTAATTATTTGAATACGATAAATAAGATTCCGTTTCCCTTTTCATTGTGTGTCTAACAGATTTCATACGATGGAAAGTTGAAATTTCTCAATGGGACACAGTTGATAATGCTCATTATATTTTAATGTATCGTTGTTCCATGAGAAAACGAGATTACGATGTTCGTGGCTACGAGGAGATTGTATTCAAAAGGATTTCCTTTCTCATGGAAATTTGTATTAACTTCGTCGTGTCGTTTCAAACGTTAAAAAGTGATCCTATCAACGTGGCAAAGAGGGTTTTCACAGGAGCGCGTTTTCTTTCATGACCAGACGTTCTTAATAATGTGCTAATTTTGACTTTTTTTCCTCTCTAGAGGATTCTGTAAAGGTGATCGTGCATTCATTTTCATCATAAAACATATTCTCTTTAAAAATATTTCCAAATAACGTTCCAATTAATTAAGTTTGAAAAGATTGGATTGAGTAAAAATTTAATTTTTATTTTTAATTTGATTATAATTCCACTTTTCTCATATAGGAAAATAATTTAAAATAAAAAGTGAATTACGTGAATTCAAATCTTTTAATGTTATCAAGTAATATTAATATTAACTTTGAATAATTCAAAATATGTTATTACTGATAACAAATTATTACTGATAACAAATAACATTGAAATATTATTTTATAATATATAATTTAAATTTATATATAGTTTTTAGAAGCAAATTATTAAGAGAATGAATATTTTTTAAATCATTAAATAATTACTATTGCAATTAAATATGACACGTGATTACATTTTTTCCAACAATTTCAAACATTTTGTTTTTCAAAAACCGATATTATTATTATGAATCAGTCATCGACAGCTAGGTAATGAACTCATCGATCATTAATATCTATGGGAAATTGGTTTTCTGGGGAAAAATGCACGAAACACCGATAATCTAGTAGCCCAGTAAATCAATCCTGTTTGATCACATCACAAACTTGCATACATGTTCTTACGAAAATTTAAACTCATTATAAGCTGTGTTGGACGTAACTGCAAGTTAGCAGAAAATTAACTGAGGCAGACAAACTTGCAACAGTTAATTGAACGTTAAGTAACCTGTTATTTTAATACGAAAGTGTAATGATAACAAAGTTATAAAATATTAGGAATCGTTACTGTTTTAAAATCTTACTTACAATTCCATCATTTATATATATTTTATAAATAAAATATATATTGTTGATTAGATTATTGTTCCTTCAGCATACACAAATATAAATTTTTTTTGTTTACAAATATTTATACCTCATACTATAGCAACAAAGAACATGTACAATCTTTTTTTTCACTTATAGAAGAACTCGTAATTAAAAGAAAGAAAATAAGAATCTACTATTAAATATTATTTGAATTTAATAATCTATTATTCCATATAAATTCGTATCTACGAATAAAAACATAATCTTTTATTAATTATCAGCATCAGAAAAATGAGAAGAATATATTTCATTTGAAAATACCAAAAATAAATACGAGTACAATATTTTCTCTCTTTTAACAATAATACTGTTATCTAAAACCAATTTTAATATTACAAGAAAAGAAAATTTTCTCTCATTGCAAAACGATAATTTGATCAAGCTCATAATTGCTCCAAATAGATCCGATGAATCGGTCATGTACATGCAATTGTATCGGTATGTACGCAACAATAATTGTCGGTATTCATTGGCCGATGAGCATTGTTCTGCTGACATAAATTTTTGCAACCCTGTTATTTTAATTCGGATTGAACGACTTTATTTTTCCGCCGTTTCAACCGTCGTGCACCGTTTTTAGATAAAGTGGTCCCTTTTGTTCCGTTGATATACAGCTCGAAATTGCGCTGGTGTTAAATTCAAAAAAAAAAAAAAAAAAATAACTTTTATCCTACTCCTGCGTATTTTTCCTCGAGTCTTTTTTTTTTATGCGAACATCTTCCAACGTGGCAGCAATTAACGATGAAAACAAATACATCACACATGGAATTTCTCCATGTTTCTACAATTTACTGTATAATATTGTACAGATGATTGTGATAATAATTTTTGTGTGTGCGAATAATATATTTCTCGTTAAATAATATTATGATGAAACACGCGATCAAGTTAAATGCATTATTAAATATTGTCTTTTTAATTTTGTCTTCTGGAAAGTGGAACTTTGCGTTACACTTCGTTGCACCGATTCTCGTATCTACATTGTGCTACAACTATGATGAGGATTAAGTTTCACGAATCTCAAAGATTGTTAGCGATTGATTGGATCATTAAGGATAAGTGGCGACGGCTTTGTCGCGATTAAATAAACTAATTACAATGGAACAGGGGCGAGCAAAGTTTCCATGTTGTGCTACGTGTGACGCATTAAAGGCGATACATCAGGGACAGCTTAATACTTGGGCCAACTTAATATGCAGCTTAATCAATTTAGTAGGAGAACTTATTAACTTGTGTGTGACGATGATACGAAAAAAAGAAACACGGTTGAATCAATATTAAAAGTGAAAAATGTAGAGGGGATTGTTGAAATTAAACATTGTTAAAGTTAAAAGATTCGTAAAACAGTTTTAACAAATTGTGAATATTGAAATATTTTATTCGAAGAATTCTTCCAGATATATAATTTGTAATGTTTAATTTCTTTATTGGTATACTTACAAAGCTGTCAAAATCACGTATATTGTACATAAGAGATAAGAATAGACTTTGATAAACACTCTTTGTAAAAAAGTTTAAGATTGAGTTATAAATGATTTCAGTGTGAATTTGTTTCTTAAATAGCAGTTTAGATTATTAAAATTGGAAATAATCATAAAATTTACGCTTTTTGAAAATTTATTTCCAGATATGTCTACGTGAAAATATATGGATCATATTTTCTCAATTTTCAAAGCCTATGATTAATCCTTTTGCTATGATGAAATCGATCTCTGATATTCCATCACAGAATGGAATGTCACAACTCATTATATTTGATAAACAGAAATCATAATTATATACTTAATTATGATACAATGTTATTCTGTTCCACTCTGATTTATTTATGTTATTAATTATCATAGTTTGATTGATTTATCTTGCAATAATATTATTGTTATAGTTTTATTTAATAGAGAAGCTATTTATAAAGAAACAATATTAATACAATGTAAATCGTGAAACAATTGTTGTTTTTAATAATAAAATTCATACAAATTTTTCTTAATGAAGTTTATCTGTACAAAAATTTATATAAAAAAGTCACAATTTAAATAAATTTAGAATCACTATTTTGTAAAGTAAACAATTATAAATAAACAGATCGCATGAAACACTTAATTAATGTTACTATATTCACAAACGGGTAGATTTGACAATCCAACTTATTTCAAGCAAGAGAAATAACTTTTAAATCGTGAATCATTGTTAATAATACGTGTTCAAAAACAAATTACTCTTGTATATCGTGTATTTTACCTTAAAACTCGATTAAACCGTATTAAAATTAAGAAAACTTTGAACCGCCATAACTTCGTAAATAATAACTTCCGGTCAACGAATGAAAGATCATTGGAAGCGCGGAACCTTGCCCTTTAAAACGCTTTTTCATTTATCCCGATACGACTTCCGGTTCCGGAGATATCGTCGTGTAAAGCAAAAGGTAATTTTTAATCGTTTACTATCTCCGTCCTTATCGCTTATTCGGACCTCTCGCTCGCACCTCGTCTCGCTGACCTATCCCAAACTGCAGACAAACGGCAGACGCGATTCCTAGAAATGCATAGTACGCATTTCCAAGAAAAATAAGTAGGTCAGTGGGTCGCGGCCCCATTCATAATTTTTGTACCGTCTTAAGCGCTATGGACACTTTGAATCCTTATATCTCAGCAACCGATTGAGATATCGGGATAATTCAAAAAGCGACTTCAATGGGATGACTCCTTCTATTTTCTGAGTGGATTTTGAGGATAAAAATTTTAATTTCTTCTCACGATTTTTACGCAAAAAATTCGAATTTCATTTATGAATAATATATTTTGTGATTGTAATGATTCCCGTGATATATACTATACGTTAACTTAAATTTGTTTAATTTTATTATTTAAAGTAAATATATTTTCGTCGAATTTTAATTTTCCTTTTTGATTTTATTTTCGTTTCATTTTCGTATTTCGGAAGAATCCTTTTTTAAATATTTTAAAAGTTTAGCTTTCTCAAATTCTGAAAAAAAGAAAAAGAGCAACCAATTAAATATCTTTCTCTTATTCCAAACGATCGATAATCACCATCATTTCGAACGAATCGTAAAATTTTTGGCAAACGCAGGAAGATCTCGAAAAACATGGGATGAAAGATATCAAACAAATGGAAATTTAATCAAAATCGGGCGACATCCCCTTTCCAAACGTTCAGCTTGTAAAGAAAGCGACAAATCAAGAGATTAAACGTGGGCTGAATGTTTATTCGTTTCGCGAGAAGCATTCGAGCGCTTTCCCCTCCCCTCCTCCCATTCTTCGGCCGGCGTTCTTCCATCAAGCTTGTCGTAATTACTAATGCTTATCCCCACTCGAAATCGTGCGAACAGGCGAAAGAATGCGCGGAAAGATTAGGCGAAGGATTTACGAGACGAGGACTTAACGTTTCTTTTTCCCTTTGTTCCAGGAACGCCATTTACAACATAAGTCTGCACGACCTGACGGAGATCGTCGACCAGGTGAGTCGGATCACTTTCTTTTTTTTTTTTTCTTTTTTTTGAAAACTCGAAACTCGAATAAAGAACGATCGATCTCGATTAATATTTTCGTCGTCGGATTCATTTTCCCGTTGGATGAGAAGGGATATTTTTTTTTTTAAAAATTGGCGTGTTTTATATGAAATCGAGTGAAATAATAGAATAACGTTTAAATGTCTTATACACGAAAGAAACGATTAATATTGACATGCTATTCGCAGAAATCAGACTTTCTTTCTTCCTATCTTGTTCATCTCTCGAGAAATAGAATGGTATCCATCGTAATAAGAAAGAAAAGAAAAAGTACGAAGGATCCTCCGTTCTATTTTCTTCTTCTTCTTCTTCTTCTTCTTCAATCACAAACGATACATATTATGTTTGTCGAGTTAATTTCAATTCTTCTCGTTGGATTCTCGTCAAAATATTTTCAATAACAAACTATAACCAATAACAAAAATAAATGTGTGCTTTTTATGAGCTACATACAATCAAATACAATGTTATAATTCTAAAGATTCAATCCTATCAATTCCTTTTTCCTCCTCTTAAAACTCGGTCAATCAATTCATTTCTTTAGTATACATTTTTAATAATAAAAATTTCGTTTACCAGCGTTCTTCGTATAATTCCTCTTCCACGAAGAAAAAGCGGTTGATATAAGATATAAAAAGGTAGGAGGAGAGGAGAATCTGTGACAAGTTTAAAATCAGGCGAACGGAAGCAAGAATAGATTTGCATGGTAATAAGTGTTTTTCGTGTTCCGCGTGTAATCCGAGAGGATCCCCCTGCAAACAGCGCGAAGAATCGGCTGATCGACTTTCTCGAAGCAAGCTGACATTGAAACCGTGCCGATTATTCCAAATCGAAAAAAAAAAAAAAAGAAAGAAAGAAAGAAAGAGAACCTCCCTCGTCCCTTACGTTTCACCATCCCACCCCCTATTTCACGCGCCCCATCAATCAAACCGGATAGATCTGGATCTGTCCCACGAGAGGCGAACTCGATCCGTGTCTCCTGTGACCGCGTGAAATCGACGCGGAGATGCGAAACTGCAAAGCTGGATTATCGATTCAGGATTCAGCCGCGTGTATCGTTAAGGGAATCGAAGAAATGATTCGAGGCGTTGCACCTCGATATTCTTCCTTCCCCGATTTTCGAGCAAGTTTTCCAAGTTTTCGATCGATTCGTTCGAATCGATTGCGCCTGCCTCTGATCTTAAGTATATTTCGCATATCCTTATTATGTCGAAGCTCTCCTCGTCCCTGTTTCAATTCTCTCGGGTATACCTCCTTTCGATGATATGAACTTTATTTTCGAAACGATCGAACAAGTATCGTTCAATTCTCTTTTAATAGCAAGAGGATCGTGATACCATGACTCTTTTTAGTCGGAATTGTTCGAGGAAGCAGAGAGAAAGAGATGTATATGTGTGTATATATATATATATATATATAAAGGAGTTAAGAGGAAGAGTAACGCGATAAAGAGAGATGGATGGAGAGAGACGCGTTCCTTGGCCATAACGGTAAGTCGTTCGTAAGGATGGAGCTAGTAAAAGTCAGCGGATTCTCTCAGCTGCACAATTCGTTTGTTTTTATCGCCTGATTTTATGTATACCGTGGAGTCGAAACGGTGCCACGATCGATTGTTTCTGATCCAGCAGATTTAACCTTCCTTCCCACTTTGCGATCTCCTCGCGTTTAGGTATCGCTGCAATGACGTGAAATAAAATATCAGGTCTTCGTGTCTGCGATTTAACGAGGAAAATTTATTAGAAATTATGTTTTATTTCTTTCTTATTATTCTTCCTTCCAAGCCGGAAAATATTAATAGAACCATTGAAATTTCTCGTTACTTAATGTATGTATTTCCTGGAAAATTAATATTGATTTTAATTTCGACAACGATATATGATGTTTCGCCATGCTATTTTAATTACTAATTACTTATTATTATTACGTCAATGTTGTTGATGATTCGGTGTGAAATTAAGCGAGGATATATATATATATATATTTTATCTCCCGTTTATATTAATAAACGAGATATGAATAGTCCGTCTTTGTCGTAGGATGATCGATTCGATACATTTGGCTTCCGGTTACGATCGTGCACGTCATCGTGCGCCTCGGTTGATAGAACGGTGACACGTATTAATCGACGTTTCTATCTGCGGACTCGAAGTCCTCATGGACGATGTAATAAATTGGAAGCAATTACTCTTACACCGATACCACTGCCACGAGATACGTTTGTCGTAAGCGTTGCACAATCTAGCAAATAGCATTTCTTCCGGCTGCGTGAATGATAAAAGTGATTGAAAAACTTCTAAAAATAGGGGCGGTCCACGTCAATGGTGGATTTTATCGTGAATTTAGATTCGCGATTCTCTGGATTATAATTAAAAGTTTCATTCTCTTTCGATTGAGGATCGTGTCTTTTTTTTTTTTTTAAATTGTTTATTGGTATATCTGAGAAGTGATTTGCTTGGAAAATGATTAATTTTATTTTATTGTTATCGAATTGAAGTTTTTTTACGTACAGTAATCTTACGAATTCCAATCTTCTTCGAAGTATACAGTTTAGAATAATAAATTTAACGAATGTATGTAATGTAAAAGGAAATGAGTAATGGACTTACAGATTTAAAAAAATTAATAATTGCGCTTCAATTTGTAAATCAATAGTTCTTTTGTACGATTATATATAGAAAGAAATAAATGACTTGTCATGAATCACGTCTGAGATACAAAACTCTTTTTTCTTTTTTTTAAAGAAATAATACTCGAGGAAGTTAATATTTGCAATGTTGCGATTTTTCAATGAAAAATTTTTGATATTATTTCATTTACTTTGCAATTACAAAAAGAATGGTGTAAATATATTTGTATTAAAATAATTATACTCGTAATTAAAAAATCAGTTTAAATCAGCATAAAAAGGAAACAATCACATATTTATTAGAATTTCCTATCAAATATTCCTTTTTCATCATTGATGAAATCATATCACCTCGATCCAGTACCAAGTTATGCAAATTATTAATCGATAATTTAAACTTATTAAAAAAAGAAAAAGTATTATTGTAGCTCGATCTTCTCTTTACCCTTAAACGATAAAAATGAAAATTATAGACTAATTTTTCTTCTTTCCTCCGTATCCTTTCCTCTCTTTCACCAAGGCAACTGGAGCGCGACAAGAATGTAATATTACCTATTATTACACTCTCCGTAAAAATTCACCGCGTTCCACGCAACTAACAATCCCGATATTAAAAATTACATTTGCCAAGTGTATTCCTTCTTCTTCCCCCATTATAAAAACTGCCGCCATATTGAATTACCAGGAAGCGCTAATTAATATCTGAAACCGTAGTGGCGCCACCATAACCACTTCATTTCCGCTACGATAGGAGAGAATTGTACTTCGATTATATCCACTCCCTTTCCACAACCGCTTTCGTGGCGTGGTGGATTTCGCGGTTACGGTATTTACAGAAACAACTTTGTCTTGCAGAAGTGGATTTCCGGATAAATTGGATTATTAACAGTTCACACCGTTCGAAATATTGATGCACTCCCCTATCCAATTATTCCGTCCAATTATTTATTGCCATTTCGAATTACACTCTATAATTATTTTTCTCGAAAAGAGGTTTAGGCAAATTCGACTCGATTTGGAAAATTTCATTTTTTTTTTTTTTTTTCATTTGTCTCGATATCGAATCGGGAAGATTCAAATTTTTCGATTTATTATTAAAGGTAAAGCGCTTTTGACAAAATTAATATTGGCTTTTGTTTCAAAGATTGTTCGCAATGGTCAACGATTTGTGGCCTCGGAAAAAGAAATTTTTTGATCGAATTTCGTGGATTTTATTTTTTCATCTGTCGACAATGGGATTATGTCAAATTGATGGATTCTAGATTTTTTATTAACGATTTTTGCAAGTGTTTTTAGCGAGATTAATATTGGCTTATAGCAATATTTATATTTAATCGTATATACATTTCGGTTTAGTGTTGATAAAATAATCGTAGACAGATGAAATATATATATATATCAATTTTACAAAATTCAATTGAAATTAAAACATCTTTTGATTGTTGATCGACGTTATTATTAACATCTGCATCTGTCCCAACTGTTCGACGATAATGCACAATAATTAACACTTCTGTTAATTATTCTATTCAATTATGATTATCTCTGTCGTCGTATCAATCGAATCATTTATGTTTCAGCTACTGTGTCAAATCGATGAGTCCTTTCCTTGTCTGTATTAACCAACGTGGTAACAATTTCGTATCGTAACGATATTACATGAACAACAATGATACTTATCTTTGAAATATTCAGTCCATTTTCAATCACAAAAATTGAATGATTGAGAATAAAATTTTCAAATTCTTTCTTTGAAAACTTCTCAAGTAACCATTTTGAAAATAGTATTAATCGAAGTGAAATTATAACTGTCGATTAAAATATTTAATTGATCTTACTTGACAATTTTTTTGGCTTATCTTCAAAGTTTCACCAATACAATAATAGATTGTGAAAGCAATATATATAATATATAATCTGTCTTCACAAATTTTTTTTCTCATCTCTTCGATATAAAACAATTAGTGAATTTTGTGCATGCGAATGATATTAAGTATTTGATCATTCGTAAGAAAAATAAAGATAATAATCATCTATCTTTGTTGAAAAAAGAAATTTTATTTCTCTTTTCTTTCCGTAATGGATGAAAGATTTAATCAAATAATTGCGCAAAACATCGCCTGCACGTAGATCGTTTGTTAAAATGATCTTGGTTTAACGATCTGTAATACGACCAACGTCGTCATGAACAGTGCAAGGTGAAAGTCTTTCGATCATTTCACTGTCAAGCTCTTCCTGCTTTCCCATGTCTGCATGAACAATCAATTACAGGCAATCCCTGTAGCAAGTTTCTCCACCATTGCAACGAGGACACGCAATGTTT